AAATTTCAGCTTCACGTGTCTAATTAAAAAAATAAACGGCACTGATTAAGTTGTGAAAGTATCATATTACGAACATGGATGTTTTTTAGATTATCATAAAACAATTAAGCATGTTGCCGCTAAGATTTATTCTCTATATCTCGACAATAATACAGGACACCATCATCATTTTTTCCAGCAAAGTTAGCTACTTGTACTAGCAGCAAAGTGTATAAACCAAATTGGAAATATCATGTACTACAAACATTTATAATATTGTCATCATCATTAATGAATTCTTTTTCTACTATATGGAAAATCTATCTCGTCTTTCCAAATACACAATGTTGACCTTTGAGAAGGACAAAAATTGTAAACAATTTAAGGAAATTTATATAAGAACTTAATATTCATTTGCTGCTGCTAGTAGTTCTATTATATGTATCTCATGAAATTCTTCTCTCACTACAATATTTATTTTCCACTAATTAATATTATTTACACTAATTGAAATATCATAAATAAAAGGAAAACAGTATATAAATGATACATTATACAGTAATTCTGACTTATACAATATCATTACATTATTATCTACATAGATCAAGCAACAATTTCAATCATAGAAAATTGTCGAGATAAAATATCAACACAAACGAAATAATATGCATTTATCTCATATTTAACTTGTCAATTAGACATCAAATGTCTAAAACTTCCATAAATAAACAGGTCAACATACCTTCATCGACAAGATTTCATTGTCGACCAAAGTAAAATTTTTTCCGTTCTTCCGTTTCTTATAATCGAATCTCCTGAAGTTTACTCATACATGTAAAACATACATCAATACAATTATCCGTCGAATTTTAAAGAAAAAAGCCGGTAAAAATGATGTTTGAATCTACGAACTATAGATTAAACTACTGTCTCATCCATTAAATCCCAAGAAGAAACAGCATAACATTACAAACGACCATCCTCAGATCTCATATTAAAAATAAATGTAAACATAAAATCAAATTTCGCTTTTACATTATATTCACTTGTTATTAATTTTCCTGAATGTGAATCATACATAAATCAATCATTCCTTTCTTCAGATATTCTCATAATATTAAATATCATCCCCAGAATTGAAACATTTAAACAGCTAGATTTTTTCCCGCCAGAAGCTACAGCTTCAAATTCTATACAAACCTATGTGAGTGCCCAAGAGAGATGGATGGATACTGAGAAGGCAACACATTTTCAATACTATCGCAAATGCATTCACTAGTGCCTGTGAAATGGAATTTGCTAAAAATGGTCGATTTGTTAGCTACCTATATAAGCCATTTTTTCGTTCAAGAAGATAGAGCCTGAAATTCTGAACAAATCAATGTCGCTACCGAAGAGAGACGGCTTAATACTGAAACAGCAACAGACCTTCAATACTATCGAGAGTGCATTGACTAATGCCTCTCGAGACAGATTTGCTGAAAACGTTCGATTTGTTAGTTACCTATATAAGCGATTTTTTTGGTCCAGAAGATAGAGCTTGAAATTCTGAACAAATCTATGTCCGTACCGAAGAGAGACGGATGAATACTGAAAAGGTAACAGGTCTTCAATACTATCGAGAATGCCTTGACTAGTGCCTCTGAAACAGACTTTCCTAAAAATGTTCGACTTGTTAGCTATCTATATAAGCGATTTTTTCGGTCAAGAAGATGCAGCTTGAAATTCTGAAGAAATCAATGTCCGTACCGAAGAGGGATGGATGAATCCTGAGACAGCAACCGGCCTTCAATACTATCGAGAATGCATGGACTAGTGCCTCTGAAACAGAATTTGCTAAAAATGGTCGATTTGTTAGCTACCTATGTAAGCGATTTTTTCGGTCCAGAAGATAGAGCCTGAAATTCTGAACAAACCAATGTCGGTACTGAAGAGAGACGGATGAATAGTGAAAACGCAACAGGTCTTCAATATTATCGAGAATGCCTTGACTAGTGCCTCCGAAACAGAATTTGCTAAAAATGTTCGACTTGTTTGCTGCCTATATAAGCGATTTTTTCGTTCAAGAAGATACAGCTTGAAATTCTGAACAAATCTATGTCCGTACCGAAGAGAGACGGATGAATGCTGAAACAGCAACAGGCCTTCAATACTATCGAGAATGCATTGACCAGTGTCTCTGAAACCGAATTTGCTAAAAATGGTCGATTTGTTAGCTACCTATATAAGGAATTTTTTCGGTCCAGAAGATAGAGCTTGAAATTGTGAACAAACAAATGTCCGTAACGAAGAGAGACGGATGAATGCTGAAACAGCAACAGGCCGTCAATACTATCGAGAATGCATCAACTAGTGCCTCTGAAACAGAATTTGCTAAAAATGGTCGATTTTTTAGCTACCTACAGTCCTGGGCAAAAGTTCCGGAGCTAGGCGAAACTCATCGATATAAGGATTGTTTACGTTGAAATTTCTACCATAGGAAGATCTTAATGAGCCCTGATCGCAGACAAAAGATTAAGTTGTAATTCCTTACGTCGACGGAGATCTCAGACTAATATTAACTTTGTTTTCGTATTGTATTGTTTCCGCGCTAGGAAGAGAATACATGGTTGTTTGAGCCACTGTTTGAGAGCCCGGCTCTTTCTCTGTGTACAATAAAATATTCATCATATGTATGCGTGCATTTCTTAAGTTATGAATTATTCTCTCTCTAGTGATGGAACTGACATATCACAATCTCACCAGTTTTTGACTCGAATCTCCAGTTAGACTCAATCTCTTGATTTGAAAATCATTTTGGAAACTGCTTGCCTGTAGTGCAGACTGTATTGAAATTTTCAGAACTATAGCTACTAGAAAAGTGAAGATTCATTTCATTCTATACGTCAAGACCGATAGCCCTGGAAAATCACTCTGGTGCAGCACAACACGCTTTCCTTTATAGCTTGAGTAGATCATCATCAGAACTACCTATTGCACTATAAATATCATCCTGATTTCATCAAATCGAAGAAGACCAGCATAAACTTTCCACATCACTCTTTCTCTCTTCAAATTAAAACAAATTACCAAGGAAAAACAATGAAAAACAAGAATTCTCGAAAATCTCAACTGGTAAATTCTGTTTCATTTGAAGCGAGAAAGAGTGATGTGGAAAGTTTATGCTTGTATTCTTCGATTTGATGAAATCAGGATGATGTGTATAGTGCAAGAGGTAGTTCTGATGATGATCTACTCATGCTGTAAAGGACAGCATGTTGTACTGTTCCATATAGATTTTCCAGGGCTATCGGTCTTGACGTATAGAATGAAATGAATCTTCACTTCTCTAGTAGCTATAGTTCTGAAAATTTCAATACTGTCTGGACTATACGTAAGCAGTTTGTGACATGATTTTCAAATGAAAAGATTGAGTCTAGCTGGAGATTCGAGTCAAAAACTGGTGAGATTGTGATATGTCAGTTCCATGAGTAGACAGAGAATAATTCATAACTTAAGAAACGCACGCATATATATGATGAATATTTTACTGTAGAGAGAGGAAGAGCTGGGCTTTCCAACAGTGGATCAAACAACATTGTATCTTCTTCCTAGCGCGGAAATAATACAATAGGAAAATAACGTTGATGTTAGTCTTAGATCTCAGTCTAGGTAAGGAATTAGAACTTAACCTTTTATCTGCAATCAGCGCTCATTAAGTTCTTCGTATGGTAGACGTTTCAAGGTAAACAATCCTTATATCGATGGGTTTCGCCTAGCTGCGGGACTGTAGCTTAGGAAGAAGTTATTGGGATCTCATATTGAGAAAAAAAAATGAAATTTAAGGAAAAAACAGAGTAAAGTATATTTCAATCTCAGCAAAATATTTCCCCGAAACATAAGTAATTCGTCCAACAAGAAATTTCACATAAGATCATTAATGCTTATCTAATGGGTACCATTACAAAACATCTAATGATGTTTATAAGATACTTTTTTGATTGTGTGTGAAAACGGGATGAAACCAATAGTCAGAATAATGGTCATTCGCGCTGCCTCGTAAACGATGATCGCAACTGATATAATTTATTTTCGTACTTCCTTGTTTTAGGCTGTATCGTAAATAATCATTAGAAGAGAAGCGACCTTTCAACGTTTTCGAGTAGTTTACGGCCTTTTACGGGTTGTTCTATTCGACCTGGGACTTTCTGTTTCCGCTACTTTTTGTTTTTTTTAATGTGAAGATGATAAAATAAGTCTAAAAATAAATAATCTAATGGAAAATGTAAAATTTACCATAACTTCATATGCATGAAGGTGAGTCTCATATTTTGACATGTGTAAAGTAGAATTAAATGTAAAATTTTCATTCAAAAGTAAATTTGATTTTATAGATGTCGCGTAAATCACTATTTTTTATTTTTATTATTACAGTAATAATATTAATGTTTCACTAAGAAAAACTTTTCATTAAAATAATTTGATTAAAAAGTATTTAAATTTAAAATCAAACTCATAAATAAAATAATTATTTTTTTGATCCTTAGTTACAAACGGAGGTCACCATAACAATGGTGGATAAGTAGAAATCGACAGAAACAAAGGAAAGTCATCATCCGTCCGTCGACAAAAAAAAAATATTGACCATGGCTACTTTAGGAACAGGTGTAATTATCCTAATCGTAATATGGATTATTACTTTAGCAACATTAACATTATTTACATTTTCTCAGTCAAGTATTCGATATGTTGGTTTACTTGCCCTTCTAATAGCTGTTATTGTTACACTTATATTGACATTAATACCGCGTGGTGATGTTAGCCGTATATTAGGATCATCTACGACTCCAACTAGTCTTGCTGGTCTTCCTCGAATACTTATTTTAACATTTCTTTGTGTAACTTTTGTTGTTGGTCTTATAATCCTTTTTGTTCAAGAAGTTGTTCCTCCTGTATATGCACAACCAGTTCGAAAACGTTTTATTAGATAAATTTTTTAATATTTGAAATAAAATTTTAGATAAAAATTATACTTAATAAAAATGTCACGTGGACAAGATGAATCAATAACGGTATTAATGAATATGATAAAAGTGGTAGATAAACTAATTCAATTAAATATTTAGGTTTTTTTGGGAGATTTATCACGTGATGCAACAAAAGAAGAAGTTGAAAAAACATTTAGTTATTATGGAAAATTACGTAATGTTTGGTAAAAAATATTGATTTCAATGTTTTTATTTATATAAGAAGTCTCTTCTTTTTTTTTTTTTGGTAAATTAGGCTTTCACGTAGTCCATGGGGTTATGGTAAATTTATTGACAATGAAAGAATTTCTTAGAATGTATTTTGTCCATAGGTTTTATTGATTTTGAAGATCAACGTGATGCAGCTGATGCTGTTAAAGCTCTTGATGGAAAGTAAGTGAAACAAACAAAAGAAGTCTTTCAATTTATTAATTGTTTTGGACTCTGCAATATTTGTATAATGTAGATTTTAATAAACAATGAAAATAATTCAGACTCTCAGCTTATCATTGTTAAGACAGTGCATTTTTATGATATTTATTCGAGAATAATTCATTGTGAAAGTTCCTAGTCTTTTGATTTTCTTCTTTTCTGAAATGAGAATATCAAAACTACTAATGTTTATGAGCAATGTGAAAGACAAACTTCTATCATAGCTGTATCTTAGAATAACAGGAACACTTTCATGCCTCGAATCATTAGTCTTATCGATACCAATCACTGTAGAAAATTGCAAGTTGAACTTCGAAAATGAGTTTTTCTTATGTTTTCAAGATAGAGAGAGACCACGGAATCAACTTAAAAAATATCGTAAAATACATAGTTTTTTTTTGAATATTTAGAATGATATGTGGTTCACGTGTTCGTGTTGAATTTTCTCATGGTCGTGGTCGATCAAATCGAGGTGGTCGGGTTCGACGTCGTTCCGGTAGTCGATCACCTCGAACAAGAAAACCTTTTAGTCCACATGATGTTTGTTATGAATGTGGAGGTTAGTTTTTTTTTTTCTTGAAAAATTCTTAAATCATGATTATATTTTAGATCGTGGTCATTATGCTTATGATTGTGAAATTCGATTAAGACGGCAGCGTCGTATGAGGTATGTTTCAATTTATTTATTTATTTTCATATTTGAATATTCAAATGGGTTAAGAAATTAATTTAACAAAAGAAAAAGACGAATATCTGTTTTTAGTTCATATAGATCATTGATGAACAGAGATTGAAACGAGCGAGCGATTTATATGACTAGATCGAAAATAATAATCTTCATGGTATCGAGAAATGTATATCGATGGAATTCTTCTTTGGATTGGGAGTCAGAATATCAGATATTCATATGAAACAATCGAACCAAAACAAAAATTCTCGATTTATTTATTTGATTTCTTTCATCCAAAAAACTATCAATTCTAAAGGTGTGTATCTATACGATGAACTATCGTAAACAGATAAATATTATTTTTATAAAAGAAGATTTTTTTTGTTTTTTTTGAAATTGAATAGTAAAGAAATGAAAATTTATGATGTTCTTCGATTTTAATATATAGTATGTGCGCTTTCATCAGTATGATTAATATTAAGTAACTGAAAATTCGTAGATATGATTCTTGCGTTGAGAACAGACTATTTTAAGAAAAACAACGACTTCTTATAAAGTTCGATTAAACGTTTTCGGCATCGAAGAAACATAAGATGTAATCGGTTTCTCGACATTGTGTATTTGATTTCTATCTTTAATCTAGAGATCTTTGTTCAAACTTTATAAAATGGTTTTGCTTTCACTCAATAGCGTTCTTTTGACAAAAAAAAATCAAGTTCATAAATTTCTCATTACCCGGTTACTGCTCACGGCGTCGTTATTGTTACCGAGTAACGTAATGGCAACTTCCTTTCCCCACACGTATCAAAATGGAAGGAAGATGAAGGTTCATTCTTTTGAATTATGACTTTTTTTTGTTTTGAATATAAATGGTATGCATTACATACTATTCAATGATCTTATTGTAAATGATATACTTAGATATTTATTTGAAAATGATTTAATGTTCTGAAAGTTCATTTCTTGTAGTAAAACGATATATTTATTTTATTCAAGAAACTGATGAAAAATTCTGAGATGTAGAAAAACTTTAAAGGTATTCAATTATCACTGCATAAAGCGTGATTATGATCAGTTTTAATAAAAAAACCTTTCCCGTCAATAAGAATACTTCTGTAGAATTATTTGTTCGAAAGTTAAGATGTATGTATATACCAATATGAATAAAAACATATCTCTCATGGTTCTAGAGGTCATTATTGAATTTTATATATTAAGAATAAAACCATAAATGGATTCTTTTTAATAGTATCAATTGCTGTCTACAACATCTGATTGAAGCATTTGATGGTCATCCATGATAATAAAGTAGAGGATTCATTTAAGGGCTTCTTAAGAAGAAGAAAAAACGAAGGAAGGAAGGAATTTTATTATTTAAAAAACGAATAAGTTCTATATGTTCTTTCTTCTTAATAAAAAAAAACTAATCAATAACAATTATTTCTAGATCCAGTTCACGTAGTAAAAGTCGAAGTCGAAGTCGAAGTCCTAGACAAACAGCCAATGGTCATTCATCAAGACGTGATGACAAGTTAATAAATTTATTGTATTTTTTATTCGTCTTTTGTAAAAAAAAAATCTCATTTTAGAAGTCGTAGTCGTTCTGAAAGTAATCGATCATCAAAGGATCGTGAACGTTCATATAGCCGTTCTCGATCACGTTCACGTTCGAGATCGGATAGTCCAGCTCGATCAAAAGAACGACGATCACGTTCACGAACACGGTCAAGATCAAGATCTCGTGGTAGTCGATAAATTATTATAACAAAAAAAAAAACAAAAACAACTCTACTAATTATATATATATTTTTTTTTTTCAATCATCAAATATAACTCAAAACAAAAAAAAAAGACATTTGTCTCTTGTGTGCGTGTATAATCCTATAAAATGATTTCGAAAAGGATAATTTGTTTGAACTTATATAATGTTCTTTCTTCTTCGAAACTGTATTTGTGTGTTATAAACAATACATATACTCTTAAATATCTACTCAGTTTCTTGGGTTTCTTTCTTTTTTTTTTTTTTTTGTTTTGTTATCTTTTTCTCGTGTCGTTTTTTTTTTTTTGTTATTATTCTTGGTATTTGATTTGATGAAATAAACACATATTGATGTCATCGAAAAAGAAAACGATTATTTTCTCATGAAATTCTATCAAGAAAATATTAATGAATAAAATGAGTAGGCTCAAGCATGACTTTAAGTTACTAGTTTCAAGGAGAGAATAGAACCATTATATATGTAGTCAGTTCTTTTTCTTATGCGTTTGTTTGGTCAATGAAAGAAAGCAAAAGAAAGAGAGAAAAAAAACGTGAGAAGATTTTTTTCTTTGGTACCATTGCGCAAGAGACAGAGAGAGAGGGAGAGAGAGAAAGGAGGAGGACTATTCTTTCACACGAGCTCATTCTAAAACAATCATATTTATTCTCGGTGTGTTATGTAGACATTTGCAAGCTAATCTATAAGTTATGTCGACGATCATATTTTTTCTTCTTCATCCACTTTTCATTTATTTTATTATAATCAATGGACAAACTCATATAGAAGGTAAATTAAAATGATCACATTTGTTCTATTATCTATATAACTACATCATCAGTTATGGTTAAAATATTAACTGATGTTATCAAAATTTTGATTCAATTCGAATATTTTTCTGTAAGATATGAAATTATTATTTCTTTTTTTTTGTTTTTTTCTTTGTATACAATACACATATGATGTTCCTAGTCTCATTCTTCTTTTCGTTCAATTGGTACTGACAGGTGCAAGGCAAAAAAAACGTCGGTCACCACCGTATGTTTGAACAAGAAATGGTCGTATATGAAAGAAAAGGCATTTATCAACGAACACTTCATAATTGAGAACGAATGTGAGAATGAATTCTTGTGCAATACATATATACATACGTACATATACACACACACACACTTCAACACAGACGATTGAGATGTTGGGTGTCAATCACATCATCTTATTCAAGTGTCTGACGGATAAGATGTCTATTGATATAGGCGAACAGAAAGAAAAAGAATCTTTATTTTAGTTAAATAATATTAAAATAGAGTTATGTTTTAAGTAATTGACGTCAATGATGATCCAAATTGTGCAAAATGTGATGGTCGAGCAGTATGCATACGTCTATTGAATAAAAGTGGTGTCAGCTGTGTATGTCTTCCTGGATTTGCTCTGTCATCTTCAACAGGTCGTTGTATTCTTCAAGGTAATATATTTTTAATATTACGTAAGAGAAATATTCCTCTTTAATTTCTTTTTTGTTCCTTCCGCATAGCTACCTGACAAAAGAGCGTTAGCGCATTATTCTAGCATCCGTTCAACAATTATACTTAATTAATATATATATATATTAAGTGTCATTTTTTTTCTAGAAATCCCGTACAATGGTATATGCGATAGTCGTTATGAATGTTTTAATGGAGGTTCGTTGACTTCGTTGATTATGTCTATAAAAGAAGAAAGAAAGAAAAGAATTTCCGCTTTCTTTTTTTTTCTTCCAAGGTTATTGTTCAAATGTGACAAGTAAATGTGTATGTTTATCAGGTTATGGTGGTCTTATGTGTGAATTAGATATAAATGAATGTGCGATTAATGATCGAATTTGTGGTTCATATTCTTGTACAAATCTACCGGGAGATTATAAATGTGATTGTGATTTTTTTCATTCAGGAAAGCAATGTCAAAAAAGTAAATAGAATACACATATATAAACATATAAATAAAATTAATCCTTGATTTATTTAAATATTTATTTTAGTTAGTGCTGTAGGTCTTTTTGTAGTAATTATTTCATCAATTGCAGTCGTATTAATCTTTATCTTCCTTGTTTTATTTGCTATTCGTACATTTTTTACTTATCGTTTATCACAACGAGTTTCAAGGTTTGAGTTAATAAGTTATTCATTTTGTTTTTTTGCTATAATTAAATAAATCATTTTAGAGAACGTGAACTTCAAATTCAAAATCCATGTTTAGCTACACTAACAACCGGTGGTATGAGAGGAGATGATCTATTATCAAATGGCCTATCCTTTATTCGTCCTGTAGGTCATCGAATCTATGTACCAATGGAAACAAGTTTTGTTAATGCAATGCGTTATCAAGCCAATATAGATGATGATGAGAAAAAACAAATTGAATCACCACCGAAATATATTACAAATCTTGATGATTCAGTGATTAATATTAATTCGAATTAAATATCACCTGTGACAATATTTATCTGTTCATTCCTTATTTTCTATATAAGAAAATAAATAAACTATTTATTTTTATCATTCATACTTTGTCATAAGCCAGCACAAAAGTGACCACTAACACAGATATATTAACTAGTATGATTATTTTTCTATTTAGTAAATGAAATATCTTTCTTCACACTTCTAATTACACATGAAACAATTATTGTTTTTTTTGTTAACATATGAAAAATTGTGAATTTGTTCTTGAGGGAGTTCATCAGAAAAACTTGAAATTTTCAGAGAGAATAAACTTTGAAAAATCAAACAAAAGTTATTCATTATAGACTTAAAACTGTAGAATGTTTTCTAAGAGACATCGAGTGTGGATGTGAATAGAACATTGAGATCGAGACACTCATCTACCCTCAAGTGTTTTTTCTATTAATTTTCTTATTAAAATATGGCGGATTCCAACGGTGAGTCCTATCGCGTCGATTCTATTAAACGCCATTAAGTCGTTTACTTGTCTGCGCTTAAGTAGTCAACAAGGTTTTTCTTTTGAAAACAACGTATACGAGATATACGAGCGAAGAAAAAAAGAAAGATAAAACAACTTGACAACGATTTTCTTATCGTTCTATTGACACATGTTGATACACAGAAGACGTATGAAGTTATGCTACTGAGTATACGTGCAAATTCTTGATTTCTTCTCATTGAGATCTTTCATATACACACACAGAATTAAAGATCTGCTAGATTTTGAAAGCATGGTCACCCATTCGCGAACACCTCTATCGAGTATTTGTCTCCTTACTGTCCTCTATATTTTGCAAGGCTTAAACCTTGGACTTGCCACGAGCTTGCCGCTATTTTTACTTGCTCACGGTGCCACTTGGAAAGATCGAGGAACATTCAATTTCGTTGTTTATCCATTCTCATTTAAACTCATTTGGGCACCATTGATCGATGTCTTCTACAGTAAACGCTTTGGTAGACGAAAATCATGGCTGGTACCCCTTCAAATTAGTATGAGTGGAACTTTATTGTTGCTATCGTTTTACATCGAATCGTTTGTAAACAATCTGCGTATCATGTTGCTCACTGTCATTTTCTTTTTTGTTGTTTTTCTTACTGCAACTCACGATATTTGTGTCGATGGGTTGGCTATTACTATATTTTCTGTGACCAACCCTCAATGGGCATCAACATCGCAAATTATGGGACAAAATCTGGGTCGCTTTCTTGGTTCCTCATTTCTTTTGACACTCGAATCAGCAAATTTTACCAATCGATTCATTCGCGAACCACTTTCACTGTCTCCTTCATCATCAGGCTTTTTTTCACTTGAACAATTTGTACGCTTCCAAGTGCTGGCTACTCTAGTTGTTACTACGTGTCTTATCTTATTTCTTCACGAGAAACAAGACGTATCAGCCGCGAATGGTGAAGAAACAGATACTCTCTCTTTAATGCAAACGTATTTTTCAATTATGCAACTTTTCAAGAAAAAGTGTATACAACAATTGACTCTCGTTGTACTTCTTGCTCCAATGGGAGTAGTGGCTATCAATTATATGACCCAATTGTCACTCGTAAGGTGAGTAGAGACACTTTAACTTCTAGATTCATTCTAACGTGAGTCTTCAGTCTTGGAGCACGAAAGGTATTTTGAAGAGAAAACATTGAAAGACTGTTGAAGATGTGTTGAAGCTCATAAGTAAAACTATTTTACACCGTTTTCATTTTCAAAAGAAAACTGAGTGTTAAGAATGGTACTTCAACGAATTTGGCAGCTTACAGGCCAATCAAATAGTGATTTCAAATGAATTGACAAAATAATTAACTGATGACAATAATATTTTACAGCGGGTTCTATCCTAAAATATTAATAATCATTATACGTAGATGCCATTTTCAAGCAGAACACCAATTCTACGTAGTATTGTGTGAAAAAAACACTGCATTTTTTATGCTTTGCGTACTTTAACTATTGTCGACCGGCTTATAACATGTTAATAGATATCATTTTTGATGCACTCTTTTGTATGCTGGGTGATGCTGTTAATATTATTTCATAGAAAATAAAGAAGAACAGTTTTGGTTACTTTTAAATTGGAGAAAGATTCCTTTTCAAAATTTTTCAAATTCTATGCAGAAGCCATAATCAGTGTGATATGTCTATAAAAAAAATACCCTTAGAATGATATATTATCTCTATTAAGAGCGCCCTCGTCTGATTAATAGACACGTGTAGTGCAAAGCAAGAATAACTAAATGACGTTACTGTTTCAATTTTCTTTTTAGTCAAGGTGTGCCACGGGAGTATTTAGCACTTGTCAACATACCAGTGATTCTCGTCATAAGTATAGCTCCTCTAATTATTCGGCACACAGAGCTACCTCTCACCTGGTTCGCTGGATCTTATGTGGTTTATCTTATTAGTGGCATACCCATTGCTGCTTATGTCTATTTTACTCCTCGCATAATCTCCACCAGTTATTATTATCCGTTACTTATTTTACTTCTGGCATGCAATGAATTTATCCAGACATTGCGAGTCGCCGCACAACTCGGATTCTATGCTTCAATCTGTGAGCCACGTATTGGTGGTACTTATATGACGTTACTCGTCACTCTGAGTAATTTAGGATTTTCTCTGCATTCATCGATCATTCTTTATGTAGCAGATTGGTTACCAAAGAGGTATACCTTTGTTATTTCAGTAGGCTTATGTACGATTATCGGCATTGTATGGCTTGGATTTTCGTGTCGAACCTTGGAACGATTACAAAACCTGCCCACTAACGAATGGTATCTAATACCAGAGATAATCACAGATAACCCAACTACACTGAATGAACAAAGTGAAATTGATTATAGAGCATCATTGATTCCGGAAAAAGAGATCGAGCAAACTATTTGAATTCTTTTTTTTAATTATTGATTGTATGTGCATGCAACAAAGACAGTCTGCGTATTTTTTACATAGATTTTCTCAACGATAATAAGAAATCGTTTTGTTTCCAATTGACATCGAACAAGATCGAGAAGAACGAGGAAAAATATTAGTGCATGATCCAAGAAGCATTCAATGGAAGCAAAAGAGTTAACCGTTTTCCTATATTTTGCTTGTTGAACTTCGTTTGTAATTGTGAACAAAGATTGTAAACATCGTCATTCTGTTTATCGGAGACTCGTCTCTGCCCATGGGGTAAAAACATGCAAAAAAAGGATGTACTTTACACCATTCTCATGAAATTTTTCCGTTAGAGAAATGATAATCGACACAAAAAAATGACATTTTTGATGATGGAATGAACAAAAACTTGCATGTTTTTTTAAGACACTGATGATTTTCAAAATTTTCATTCCTGAAAATGACAAATTCTACATTATTTTCGTGCCATGATAGTCATTAAAAGTACATGGCAATCATGACATTAAAAATTAAAAATTTCATCAATCCAATGTCACTCAAAACCTGGCGCGTTGATTGCTTACCGTTTTCCCACCTAACTCTTTTGCAGACTGAGATAGACTAAGTTATCTGAACTTCTCACAATGTCTAGGTTCCTAGTCTTTCGAGGGATTGTGTAGTGAACTTATGAAAAGTTCAATATATTCTATGTCGATTAAAAAGTGGCAAGTTATTAGAGTTTTGAATTTAACAATCTTCATTGCCAAAAGTAGCGCACAAAATCCTTTTTGTTCTTATACATTCATTTTCTTGTAAAACCGATGCGTGTGACAGCAAACATATAGATAAACTCAAATTAATCATTCTTTATCATATTTTTGGAAAAAGATGATGTTTCATCATATATTTTACATTGAAGTCATCCGCGAAAAAGTTCTAACTCAAGAAAGATTAAGAAGTTCACTCATCTGAAAAGCTGTAAACACTCGGTGATTCAAATAAAATAAAAATGAAACTAATTGCATAAATTTGATGTTTTAAAAAAAAATTAAAGTCCCGTTATGAATATGATGCGAAAATAATGTAACTAATGTAGTGATTTCGATGTTTTACATCAAATCAAGGTTATGGCTTAAATATGATGCCAAATAATAAAACTAATGTAATGATTTGAAATTTGTAGAAAAATAAAGTTCATGAAATGGAAATAGGGCGAAAGTAATAAAATGATTTTCATTTTTAGAAATAAGTCAATTTATGAAATGAAAATAGTGTAGAAGTAACGGGAGTAATGCGGTGATTTTCATTTTTTCGATAAAAATTCTGAAAATAATCATTTAAATGAAATTCTTTTCAAGTTTTTACTCTATGAGTAGTGTAATATCAAATAGACATGTTTTAATTCAGAGCTATCAGCAACCAGCTAGTAGTTTAAAAAAAAATTAGAAATCAAGTTGTTTATCTATATTATTATATGCTAGTCTTCATAATTTAAAACTATGATTGGATTTGTAACAAAAAACTGTTAGTTGTCTCTGTTTCTTTATTTTTGTTTTACCATCAATCTGAGAAACTCTATTTTAATAGAAGACTTTTTATTTAAAAATTTAGAAAATGAAATTAGAACTCTTTTGCATCAGTACATATTTAATCAGATATTCAATAGCACACGACAGGATAATAATTGAAAATGAAAAATCGTTTTTGTCTTTTTCTTTGACGTTATAGTTCATTAAGATCTTATAAGAGTATGGGTGCGTATCAAGAGAAGCTCTGCACTCACGTCCACATTCGATTGACTTTCACTTGGACGTTTAAAAGGTTCTTCATAGATTGTATTCGAAAATCCTTTGCGCCAGCTGCCGGAACCAGGACGAAAAGTCGTAGAGTGACAATAAGCTCGCCAAACATGCCTGTAATTGTAGGGATGACATAAAAGATCTTCAACTTCTGAGTGCATGTGTAAGTGGAGATAACAAGAGCACAAGTGTTATAGTACTCATTAAAAATAACGTTGATTTCTCATTCCTCTATCATGAGTTGATTAAAGAATGTTTCGAGGATGTTGGCAGGTGAAAAACACGTTGTGTTCGAACTG